CTGGCGCCCTTCTCCTTGGACGGCTAAAACCTTCCTTGAGTATTTTAAACGAAAAACAATGCTACCTTGAGAGGACTTAACATATTCATTTCACATTAGACGGTGTTAAGCTATCACCGATGTCAGAAAGATTTTTTTTTCGGTATTTATTTAGCTTTATAAACGTTGTATGGTTTGCTTTTTTGAGGTAAATGCTATTAAACTATGCGAAATAGTAATGAAAAGTGTTTGCTTTCTCGATTTTATAGCGAACAACGATTGTATAACATACAGGACTAGTCGAATATAGCCAACCAGGATTGCAACAATATAAGTACGTTTCAGAATCTGAACGTAGTTTACGGCTTGAAATTTATTTGACGGTTTTTCATAATTACGAGTTCAGTGAACTAAAAAAATTCTCCGAAGAAGAGTCAAAACAAAATTCATGGCATTATATGCTAAAAAATAGCCTTACCAGAAGAAGGTTTATAATACATTTATTTGCTTTACTCACTTTTGTTTAATGTTTTCCGATACCTTTTCCATACCCACCTACCCCTTTTATTCTCATTTTTTAAAGTAAAGAGCTATCTGTTTGTTTTATTTTCAACTTGTCTAGAATCAGTACTTGACATTTTCTGTTTGGTATAAGGTCGTATCTCACTCCACACGACTAGACCTATACGGATGATGATGGATAAAAAGCATGAAACAGTGATGCCGTTGGTAATGATTACAAAGATGGAAAGCAGACTCAGTTCAGCCGATTTATTTATGCCAATTTACGTAGCACGCCATTACTGATAGCCTTTAAAATGGTTCGTATTCCGATAGTATTGGACTGCTATTGGTTTATAGACTGGTAACTTTCACTCAGCGTAGACCAGCACTTCCAGCGTGTGGGCCGCATCAACTATTTGTAGGTGACAATTGTCGCCCATACCTCAGTATAGTAAAATACATTTTACTGATAGTAGAGATTCATCTAACATATCCATCCAGTGCATTGACATTAAACTCTTTAAGGACGCTCATGTTTAGCATGCATTTTCCACATATTTTCACACGTAATAACAGAAAATACGCCAGCTTGATACACAGAATATTCCAGATTATGTAACACTGGTTTTGTGTTGCTGGACAGTCTGGTTAAAACATGGAAATGACAGCCAATGCGAGGTTTTGTCGGGGTTTTGTTTCTAGCCAATAGGAAGCTGAATTTATTGATTGAAGGTAGGGTTAATAGTAGTTTTTTTGAAAATGGTAGAATATAACTAATACGTTATCCATTCAAAAATATTTCTTATATATCGATAATTCGATGAAACGAAAACTTTGAATGTCGTGCAACTTAACGCTCATGGCTGTCAAGTCACAAAGCGACACAAACTTACTGAGATAATTTTTTTATACACCACAAAGGCCTAAGGCCTAAAATACCTGTGGTAACCGTGAGGCTATTGGGGGTACAGAGGATAGGGAGGGCGTCACAGGGGCTCTAGCAAGGGAACACTAGTTCATGTGACATCCACACATTCTGGCCCCGTCTTCGAGATCCGCCGGTTGCTATCTCCACGTTCGACAGTCTAAGACTGTTTACCACCTACGGAAGTTTGAAGACTTCGCGATATTATTTTTGTTTCTTATGACTCAGTGCGTCTAATGAGATTTTCTGCATATACCTTTATGAAAAAAGAAGTTGACGGTCAACTATGCAAAGTTACTGGTAAATCGTCGTATTCCAGTGCGTGAGAAGATACAAAGTTCATTTGAGTCTAAGGAATAAAATTTTTTCGCATGTTTATACTTGAGTCATGGTAACACAATCATAAGAAGTTCATAACTACTAAACACAATATAATATCAGCTATTCCAAAAAAATAAAATTATTTTTGTTTTTAGTTTTTCTTAGAACAAAACTGTGCTTAAGTCTAAAAGATGGTAGTAGATTGAGCGTACACATCGTATTCAAGAAAGGAATAAAACATCAATATGAAGCAGTAACAAACCTTTCAGTAATTGATAATTTTAAAAACTATTTGTCCTTGCAGTACAAAATTCTTCATAATAAATTATTTGAAGCCTTAAGTAAAATTTCAGAATGTTTATTATTTAACAAACATCGAGCAAATATTCAGTCTATTTCACTGGCGTGCAAAAAAAACCTTTTTCCTAACTACTTTTATGCTCAACACGTGTTCAATTCTAATTTGCCTGGCTTATCGCAGTAGGGAACAAATAATACCACTGTAGCCTACAGTAGAACGACTACACCACCTCTAACCTTACCTCGCCGCCAAATTATTGTAAAAAAATCACAAATAATGAATGATATATGGGATGAAATTTATTCCCATATCACGTTCAGGATGGGATACTACGAATCACTTGTAACCCTTTATACACGCGACATAACTTTCGAAACGCTACTGTACATACTTTCCACAAGCATAATTCCGTATAGTGCTTCAAACAATGACAGAATAACTTATACCAAAAGCGAGTTTAGCGGAACTCTTGCAATAAATTATGCAGTTTCATAAGTTGCGAACGGCACACCAAATGCCGGATACAGTCTGTGTCTAGCTCCGCACAGTGTCATTCTGATTCCAACATCTTACTCCAGCCCGAGGAAATTGAAGACAAGACGCTCGATACATCGGGCGAGAGTCAATAAGGCGTTTACGTGACTCACGTTAGCTGTGCGAATATCGTTTTTTGTCCCTTTTGGCGTTTTTTATTCCCTGAAAAGCACGGGAGCATCCTCCGTATCATGACATTCGAAGTAATGGTGGTAATTTAACATAAAACGGTGATTCCGAATGGATGGCAATATTCAGGTGTATCGCAGTCTGAGTTTTCCTTTCGAAAAAACAGTTCATGAAATGATCGTCGTGACCTAATAGAAAGTATGGTAAAATGATTTCAGGTAATGATGGCATTTGCAAATGATTGGTATGATTCAATGGATCAATAATATCAGTAGCATCTCTTTCAGTTCTCCCAATAGTGCAGGCACTGGGTGGAATCAAGCATGCAAAAGATAATCATTACATTTCAGCAACAGATATACAGAGTGATAAAAAGGTAAACACCTACGTATGTTATTAGAATTCAAGAATTTTTTACATATCGATTTATCTTGCCATGAACAACAAGTGATAAAATGGTCAGGTTTCTTTGTTAAGTTTTTGTGGTGGCTGCGTGTATTGTTTGGTGATAAAGAAGCATTCAGTTTTCGTACGTTTACGGTAGCTAAGTGACTTTGAGAGGGGTTGAATTGTAGGGTTGCGTGATTCCGGTCTATCGATAAGAGAAGTTTCTAGGAGGACCAACAGATCCTTACGCAGTGTGCTGCAGTGTGAACGAGCGTGGACTCAGGAAGGCCTAGAACAGCGAGCGAGGGGTTCTTGACGTCCCAGAGGGACCACAGAGCGACAACGCCGTCGGTTAAGACTGCTGGCTATACGATAGTTTGGCCTTTTTTCTTATCGCTCACATTGGGTTCCACCTCTCGCAGCTAAACATCGGCGTAACCGTTTACTCTGGTACAGAGAAAGAATTCTGTGGGACCGGGAATGGAATCAAGTGGTCTTTAGTGACGAATCTCACTTCTATCTGGAAATGCATCATGGTCGGGCAAGAGTGAGAAGGCGACGTGGTGAAAAACGTAACCCACAATTTGACAGAGAGCGTCACGTTCATCAGACCGTAGGAGTAATGATATGGAGTGCTATTGCTTATGGTAGCAGATCACCACTAATTTTCATCAGACAGCCCGACGCTATATTCAGGAAGTAGTGGAGCCTCATCTTATTCCATACCTAAACACCATCCAAAACCCGAAGACAACGCTAGACCGCATGTTGCCAGAGCCTTTATGGATCAACGTCGCATTAACTGTTTACCTTGCCCACCACGATCACCTGACCTATCGCCAAGTGAATCTGTCTAGGACATGATAGATCGCAGGCTCTTCAATTTGCAACACCCTCCACAGACTTTAGCAGCTCTTGCTCACGAAGTTGAAGTAGTCCGGAATGCGATACCTCAACAGGATATTGACCACCTCATCAGGCATGTCAATGAGTGTATAAGAAATCGTGGATCCTCAACACATTATTGAACCAGCTTCTGCACTCAGTTGACGAGTCAAGCTGAAAATTTAATCATTTTGCTAGTGAGATACACTGAACATACATATGTATATAATAATAATAATAATAATAATAAATGGGCTTTATTTCGTACCTAAGTAAAAGTACAAAAAAGGCGAAGTGTCGCTAAGATTAGCGCTTTTCAACTTAACCTTAACAAAGAAAAATATATAAATATATACATAATAAAACAAACAAACAAAAATGTATCCATAATTCTCAATAATTACTAAATAATTAACAACACAGAACAATTACAAGAATAGTCCATATTTCTAGCATTTTGTACTCATCGTCACACCTCGACTTGTAGTTTTAGTTTAAGCCTCTTTTTAAAATTAAATAACGTATAGTTTTGGAATGTAACAGGCAGATCATTATATAATTTAATAGCATTGTAGCTGAATGATGTTTTGTAGACAGCCTTAGAATGTAAGGGTATCACTAACATATTCCTATTCCTTGTATTCAGTTGATTTATGTCACTACATCGTGTTAACTTATTATGCAAATATTGTGGTTGTTTGGTAGCTAAGACCTTATGTGTGAGTGTCAATAAATGAAGCTTTTGCATGCCTTTAATCTGCAGAATACCAAGTTCCTTAACCTCTTAACCGTGTTGCCAGAATTCGGATGTGGTTGTATGTATCGTGTCATAAAAATATTAAATGCGAGAATATTCGCATTACCCGGTAAGATAAAAAGATGCGCATATATTCGTCGTTCCCGTAATGTGATATCCTTACAGATAGAAAGTATGCGTATATACTCGTTTCACTCGGTAGGGAGAGCGTATGAATAAGATAATAAAAATGCAAGCATGTATCCAATAATTCCAATTACTTCATTGAAAATTATTGACAAAAAAGCTCATTCAACTAAACTACGAATGATATAAACCAAAACATGGTGCAGCACACAGTCCAGTTTTACATGATTCGCACCAATATATACTCTCTTTCCTCTTGCATTTCTCTCTACACACTACACACCTTTTGGTCGGTTTCTTTTTATGTGCCGTGGATGGTATTACAGATGGAAAATGTTTCTCAATCAGCCGACTTGCATTTTTTGTTTTTGATCGTCTACCTGCATTACAATTCTTATCTCTTCCATATGTTTCTATCAGTTTTTCAGCTAAATCTATTACAAAGTTCAGACGTGACTTCCTACCACAAAGTTTTTTGTAAAGGATGTAACTGTTTATTACAGTTATATCTAAGAAATGAAGAAATATTTTTCTGTAATATTTTTTGAGGTGTGTACGTGACATTGCATAAAAATGGAGAATATTATCTGTCAAATCTACTCCACCCATTTTTTTTATTATAATGCTCTATAACTACTGGCTTTTTCATTACCTTCCCTCTTGTTGTCTTCTCTACAAACTGATTGTCATGTAAAGTACTTATCATCACTATTTCTTTTTTATCTTTATACTTCAGCAACATAATTTTCTTCCTAAATAAGGCATATGCTTCTCCGTGTTCCAACTTTTTCTTCTTCAGGTCCTCTCGTATACCTTTTCTATTCAACCTCATTGTGCCAACACAATCTGTGCGCCTCATAGATAACTTTTCTGCCAAGTCTACGCTAGTATAGTAGTTATCGAGAAACAGACAATAACCTTTATCTAAGATATTATTTGAGAGTTCTAATACCACTTTAGCTGATAAAGGTTCACTCGCGAAGCTGTTGCCATAGTTTGTATCAGCTCCGGTATATATCAAAAAGTTATAGGTGTAGCCTGTTGAGCTTTCAGCTAAAATAAATAGTTTTATCCCTAACCTTTTTCTTTTCGATGGGATGTACTGTTTCCACGTTAGGCGACCTTTCCAACGTAGTAGTGACTCGTCAATGGAAATGTTTTGTTCAGGAATGTAAACTTCCATAAACCTTTTTTGAAGGTGATCTAGGACAGGTTTAATTTTGAATAGCTTCCTCTGAGAAGTATTTTCGTCAATTTCGTTATTATTAGAAAAATGTAGGAACTTACATATAAGTGCAAACTTTCTCTCAGTCATCACCTTGGAAAAAAAGGTGTTTCTATGCTTTCCCTTTTCGAAAAGTACATTTCGTATGATGGTTTTACGCAAACACTTTGTAATAACAACAATCCAAGAAAAGTTTTTATTTCATTAGCATCCGTTTGAGTCCAGGCGCGAACTCTTGAACGAGGCCTGATATTTTCATAGTTCTTGATAATGAACTGATTGGCGTACCTAGAATAAGACAAATGTAGAATATTCATAATAAGTGTAGAGTAACACCATTCTATTTGTTTCTTCTACTACAAGGTTTGTCAAATGCTGATCCATGAATAACTCAAATATCTCCAAAATATTATCCGAGCTAATATCAGGAACTTTTATACCAGGATCTGAAGTGAAGGGAAAGTGAGGGCGCGGTATACCTTCTTTGATCCAAGGTACCTCTATGTCGTCTGCAGCCTCTTCTGGGTATTCACTTTCTGATCCATCTGCCGAAGATAAATCGTCGCAGCTTGATAAATCATAGTCAGTATCAATAGAACTAATTAGACAAAAGATCGCTGTTGTAATCGAATGAAGATTCACTCGCGTCAGACATTACAAAAGGGTAGCGCGCAAAACGCCTGTACTCCAGCCTATATCAGTCCTCAACTGAGCTCATTTAACAGAAAGCAGCAAGTTTTGTATACCATTCGAACGTGCGAAGAGTGGGGATTCCCATAGAACATAATAGCGACTATATTCGTATTATTCGTGAAATGCGGCGTTTAAAAAGGTGAGGCGAATATACTCGTACTACCCAACCAAGTTAGTTTATTACTTGGCGAATATATTCGTCATATTCGGTTAAGAGGTTAAATTTATGAGAAATATGATCAAACTTTCGTATTCCGCAAGGAAATCTGATGCACGAATTCTGAATACGCTGTAATTTGCTTTGTTCACTATATGATAGAGCTGCGCCATATATACTGTCACAATAACTGATCTTTGATATAATTAATGTTTCACACAGTTTCAGCTTTACTATATGCCAAAAATTATTAAAATCGGATAAACATTCGTATGTGTTCACCTTTTTTGTCACATTTGCTGAGTATAATCCAACCAGAATTAACAATTCAGTTTTTTACCCCTACACCTCGTCTTACTTACAAGATATTCCCCAATTTATCATAAATGGACTCAAGTAAAATGACTAAGTTCACTCACGGAGTGATATTTGGTATCCTAAAATTCTATACATAGTTTGTGATTAATTTCCAATTGTTAAAACCCATCAAATTTCTTACTATGCCTTAAATGGCCCAGAGGCTGTGAAACGGCGAAAAACGTAGTTTGGATTTTTTTTCAATCTGATCCCTACCGGCTGGTAATTCTTGATCCCTCTATAACTCAGTAGGTACCGCTCGGATTTTCATGAAGGATTACTGCCATGCCAAAAATTAAAATCTTTGTAGGCAAAAACCGAAACATTTCCGAGCGTCAACAAAGTGCGTTTTCTTTTTTTTTTTAGATTTGTGGTGGTCAGAACTTCAAAAAATACATTGAACTCGTTATTCGACTTTCTGCTCACATTCCGCATGCAGCACTTATCACTAATGTCGCTCTACTCAAATCCGAGCTGAATTTTTCGAGTTATACTAGGGGCAAATGATTGTCGGGTAGCTAATTGGTTGACAGACAGGCCCACCCACATTTTCATGAATAAGTTATCTCTTACCGATGATCGCCTCCCGCACAAGAAAAATCTATGCAGGCGCCCATGCTTACAACAAACCTGCGGGATCGAACAACACAAACATAGAAATAGAGTGATGCTACTATAACCACACTGGGATACACACCTTTAGATCAAAAACAGGTTGGCGAGCAGCAACAAACAGAATGCAAAGCTAAATTAGTAATTTGCTGAAAATAATTGAAATTTGTAACCTTACCCATTCCGTGTATGTCGCAGTAGAACTATGTAACCTCAGTATTAAAAATATAATCAGATAAATCGTGTCTGGAAATCCTAATTTAATACATTTTCAGTAGCATCATAATTTAGTTTCGAATTTTCTTGTTTGGTGCTCGCCAACTCATGGTGTAACTGACTTTTAAATCGATACTGTTGCAATGTATGAAAACCTCCTCTATGACGAGACTTTTGCTGTTGCTGTTTGTTGACCACTTTGCGAAACATTTCCCACCCTTGAAAAACGTTCCCGTGGGATGTGTTTAATTACTGGGTAATTCAAAGCGGCGAAATTCTCCGCTCTACAAGCTTAAAGAGACCGCTGTGGTTGTTCCTTTAGCAGGCCGGTACAAGAGCGTCGCATGCCGATGGCCCAGGGAGGGGGGGGGGGGGGTAAGTTGATCAGGAGAATGGAAAAAGCATGAATTGTAAAATGACGCTTCACACTGGTACGAGTAGTACGAATCTTACCCCTAGGACGATTGTAATAACAACAGTACAAAATCCAATGTGTCCACAATGAATGAATGAATGTATTTTTCGATGTGTCGGTCATAGGTATGAATCCAGAACCGTACTACAAAATGCAAGGTCTTGGCATCAACCTTTACAGTGAGTTATGAGTTATAGCTCGGTTAAAATATTAAATCCTAAACAAGCCTATTTGCAGGCCGGTGCAGTGCGCAGTGGGATGAACTAACATTATCTTTATGGTAAACTCTGTGTTTTGGTATATTGTAACAAATAGAATTAAAAATGGCCTGTTGTGAATAGTAAAAATAATGTTAATAACAATGCTATAGATTTCCACAAGCTAGTCGGACATCATTGCAAGAGAAAGACGTGTTTTATCACGAATTTCTTTCCGATTTCTAATAAATTGTTTTTAGGAGCCCATGCGTGGTGATGGAGATATACGAAAGAAACGGAATGATGCATTTGCTTAAATACCATAATCTCAAAAAGTGTCATTTGTGTAAATAAAGATCCAATAGAACTAACATTACATGTTTCACTTCATTTTTTTTTTTATATCGAAACAGCTGCGCAGGCAGAAGCCTAAATGTCGGAACACCGCGGCTGCTATGATGATCCCAAAGAAATTTTGTTAATACGATTTTTGAACTGCCTAAGGTTAGTAGAACTGGGAAAAGCTTCCTCCCGTAGATTATTCCACAATCTAGACACCCTCGGGACAAAGGAGCGGTTGTATCGGCCAGTTCTGGATGTACGAAGCTTGACACGGTTAGGATGGGACGCCGAAGTCAGGCGGGTCTGTCTGGCAGGCACATCGCGCGGCGGCATCATGGAAGAGAGCTCTGAGGAGCAAAGCCCGTTGGTGTAGCGATAGAAAAGAGGCAGATCGCCGACGACCCGCCGGTGCGAAAGAGTCCCGAGACTGTCTGTTAGAGAAGAGTCATCGATCAGTCGGACCGCCCTCCTCTGGACAGCATCGAGCATGGACAATGTAGTCGGGGCGGCAGCACCCTAAATGTGTGATCAATACTCAAGGCTAGGCCTTATCTGTGCCTTGTATAGAGTGAGAAGGTCATGCGGAGAAAAGTACTTCTTAGCCCTAAACAAATAGCCTAGCTTTTTCCGAGCAGCTGCAGCTATTGAAGAGATGTGTTCGTGCCAGATCAGGTCCTCGGTGATCTGGACTCCGACCAGCCGAAATGAATGGCTCTTTGGTAGAACTCGACCGTCCATCGAAACTGTATGAGCGCTAGGACGCTTTTTGGTCGTCAAAGTACAGTACTGTGTTTTGGAAGCATTGAACTGTACAAGATTGTTGCGTCCCTAAGCAGTGATAGCCTCCAGGTCTCTTGTCAGAGAAGAAGTCGTCGCTAGTCTTCTTTTTTCCAGCTCAGCGGTAGAGATCGGCTTGTCACTCTGAATTCCTGCATGTAGAGTGCTGTCATCAGCGAAGCTGTGGATTGTGTTGATCGTGCAGGAAAGGAGGTCGTTGATATGTAAGAGAAACTGTGTTGGAGCCAAGACCGATCCCAGGGGAACACCCGCGTTGACGTTGTGGGATGAAGAGGAGAATCCGTCAATTACGACGGATATCTTGCGGCCAGAGATAAAGTCAGCCACCCATCTGCAAAGCTTTTCTGGGAGGCCGTAGGATGGAAGTTTGCTTAAGAGGGCAGCGTGCCACAGCTGATCGAACGCTTTCGTGATGTCAAGAGCAACGACATGAGCCTCACCATGAGACTGGATGAGTTTACTCCACAGTTGCGTGACGTAAGCTAGGAGGTCCCCTGTGGATCGTTGGTGCCGGAAACCGTACTGCCTGTCGCTAATCAAGCTGTGACGTTCGAGGTAGTCCAGAAGCTCGCGATTTATGCACCTCTCCATCACTTTACTTATAACAGAAAGCAGAGCTATAGGC